AGGGATGATGTTTCTGATCACGTCAGACCACCAGCCCTATATGCAAACGACGGCAAGTGGGATGAAACCAGCTGCCAAGTACACATACTCTAGGTATGGCCGGAATAGCCACATATCCAGAGGCAGGGCAAGCCAAGTGTCTGACCCGTGTGCAAATAACAGTATGTGTGTGGGGTTGAGCTTAGAGTCGGGGATATAGCCTCATGTCCAAACCCTTGACCGACCCAGGGCAGGCAAAGCCACAGATGCTGGGGCAGTACAGGCACTGGCGGGCTAGGTTACATAGTCACATCCATTGCCAGGCGAACCTCCTGGTAGATCTTGCTGACCATCCAAAAATTAATAATAAATAATATTCCTCCATGAACCCAGTTGCCACATGTCAGTGTTCTTGTCCACATCTGCATCCTGAATCGAACGTCCCCCTTTGGACGTGGGCTCCTCTGCCCTGTGGTTGCCTACGAGAGGGCCATCTTTCTGATGCAGTTATTCAGGCTGGTCCACACTGGTTCAGGGCCAATTTGTGTACCCCTCCATACCCAGGTTCTCCTCGTCTCCCTCCGGAGCAGCAGCTCCCCCACCATCCCTGCACTCCAAACACCACTGTGGCCTGCGACTAGGCCCAGTTTACCCTGCTCCCCCACCTTCCACTCCTGCCTCATGGCCAAAGGAAAACTAGGGAAACCAGGCTGTGGGTCCCTGGCAACCCCAGCCATCACTCCCAACCCCTGTGTTCCTTCAGCTAGGCCCACCTCTTCTTCTGCCCCCACTGCCACGCTCACACCCACCTCCACCCCTATCCCAAGCCCAAAGGAAAATTCAGGGAAGCAAATGTATGCGATGCTCAAACAAATGCTTTAATGAGAACACAACAGAGGGGCGAGGCTTGTCAGCCAAACAGGGCTGGCCGTGGGAAATGCTGGGCAGGATGAACTGATGCCCGATGGATAAACGGGGCGGAAAGTCCATCAGAAACCCAGAGCCAGCCAGCGAGCCAGGAGCAGGTAGGCGCCATCACTGACGTCGACGACTGCTACGACGACGATGACCAGGTTCCGGCAGAGACACATGAGGGATGGTGGTGAACTGGAACAGTTCGCTGAGGGGCGTGTTGTTGTAGACAGTGAAGTCGAGCAGCTCCGGGGTGATGAACATCTCGGCACCTCGGCGTTGGGCCTCGTTGATTGCCAGCTCCAGCACTCTGCGCACCATGAACTCCAGGATGGCGGTCAGGAAGATGGGCGCTGTTTCGCTCAGTCGCGAGGTATGGCCGGCCTCCCGAAGAAGGTGTTCCACCAGACTCACAGACAGTGTCAGCCCGGCTCTGGCGGAGCGTGCACGTGCACGGCGGCGAGTCGCCCCTCGACGAGATGACCCCTGACGAGCGGACCCCTGACGAG